CCCGCCACATATACCTTATATTGATGTAATGCTTCGTAACTAAAAACATGATTTATTTACACTTATCTGATTCTTATGAGCTGGTCTCCAGCTATCATTTCACATCTCTCATCTAATTCTCCCCTTCATCCTACGTGAATTTATCACTTCTCTTCTTTATAACTCACTCCCTCCTCACACCCTACCTCCACTCCGGACCAATTAAATCTCTTTGCTCATCTGTCTCCTTCTCTTGGAATGCCTTTAATTCCATCAATGTCTAGTGTAAATGCCATTATTTCCATAAAGTCTTCCTTGATGTTCATTTAAAAGTAATCACTTGTTCCTTTGAGCTGTTTAGAGCATTTCAACACCTTCTATTTTGTAGTATAGTATTGTTTTAATATATGCCTTAATCTCCCTGGCATAATAAATGTTATAAGGAAAGGGATTCTCTTACTTAAGACTTGTGAATTTCAAGAATAATTGTGAAATATAAAGTTTACTTGAATGAATGAATGAATGAATGAATGAATGAATTATAAAACAACTCTGTAAATTTAAGGTATTAAGCTCATTTAACAGATGAGGAAAGTGATTCAGAGAAGTTAAGAGATACCCTTAAAGTCAAAATAACTAATAAACAGTGGAGCTGGGAGTGAAATCCAGACAGGCCTTTTATTCTTTCCACAGCAGCTAGCTTGATAATCTAGGTCTAGGTTTTTTACTATAGTATTTCCATTCCATGTATTCTATATAAGTAGACAGTATTCACCCTAAAGAACTAGAACTAGATTAAAATACAATCATAAGTTACATCAATATTAAATCATGAGCTTAGGGTAGACAATAATTAGCTTAGGACAGATAATAATTATTAGAATTGAGTTTTAATAACTGGTGTGAAAGAGAATAATACAAGTGAAAACACACTAGGTAGAGTTCACATGCTCTCTAAAAGCCATTACAACTTGGGTTATAATTCCATGACATACAAATGACAGTCTTAAGAAGAATGTTTATGAAGAAAAATGAATTCAGTACATTATTTCTCAAACATCTGCTAAATGCTTGGCACTATGTTAGAAACTTGAAATACAAAAATGAAAAATACATAGTCCCTGCAGTCAAGAACAGTAATTGTGACAGTGCTATAAACCTTACTTGTTCAGGCATTATTGTGATTACTAAAAGTCCAAAACAGAATATAATGGATATCTACAGAACATCTACTTCTAAATCATATTTCTTTGCAGACATCACTGAGCAGAATTTAATCCTTCATTAATGATTCACATAATCACACAGAATCTTAAGGTGTACCAGGATTATTTGCCTTAAACTAAAAGTTCTACATTACAGAAGTCTTTGAAATTTTATGTCTTTTTTTGCTGTGTTTTCTGTATTTCATTTAATTTCATCTCTCTCCTTCTCTTCCATCCATTCAAATTTCTCTAATACTTTTTGAGCCTCTACTATGTTCCAGGCAGTGTTCTAGGTGATAAAAATACAAAGGTGAACAGGAGAAACAAAAGCCCAGGCATCGAGGAGTTTACACTCCAGTGGAAAAACAGATAACAAAAACCATAAATATGTTATATCATGTCATATAACTTTAAGCACTCTGAAGAAAATTAATACGGGCTAAAGGAACAGAAAGGGAATAGACTTTTAGGGTAGGGTGATCAGGGAAGGCTTTACTAAGGGATGTAGCATTTGAATAGAGAACTATATTAAGTGAGGGAATAAACCATGTATACATCTTGGAGAAGAGCTCTTTAGGCAACTGCAAAGTCTCTTAAAACAGAATGAGCTTGGAGTGTTCAAGGAATAGTAACAACACAAGTGTGGTTGGAAACACAGTGAAACTGAGTATGGAGAAGGATGACAGGTTATAAAGTCAGAAAGGCCAACAGGAGCAAGATTCTATAAAGTCTTTCAGGCCATGGGTAAAGAGCTTGAATTTTATTGTAAGAAAAGCTGTAGTGGATTGAATTATGTCCCCTCAAAACTCACTGAAGCTTGAATTGTGTCCCCCAAGTTTTTTGTACTAAACTTAGCCCCCACTGTGACTGTTAAGAGGGTGGGAAATCCTGTTATGGTATTGAAAGGTGGAGCTTGAAGAGGTGATTGGATTGTAGGACCGTGCAGTAGTGAATGGATTAAAAATGGTGGCCAGGGGTGTGGTTCTGAGGGCTTTAAAAGAAGAGGAGAGTCTGTCTGTCTGTCTGTCTCTCTGCTCTCTCTGCTTCCACCACCTTGCAATGTGAGACCGCTGGGTTTCTGTCACCATCACCGGATGGACTTTGGACGTCCCAGCCTCAGAAACTGTAAGCAATAAATGTCATTTTTCTTTATAAGTCACCCAGTCTCAGGTATTCTGTTATAGCAACACAAAAAGGACTAATACAGTCACTTAATACTATTTAACAAATCACTGGTGTGCTGCTTTTTTATTCTCAATTGTATTCT